TCGACACCCAGTGAACATTGTCATATAATCAGCAGCACACCAGTTGTATTTATAAGGATGTGTTGCTGAAAGGCTGGAAGAAGTCCACAGTTCTGCCTTCGTAACTGCACACGCAGTAGTTCTGCAATGGGTCCTGGACGATTTGTGCCTCTAAACCGTGGCTAGGGGAAACTACTGTTCGGCTTTTGATTCCCATAACCACTAGCCCCCATCAACATGGGCCATGAAGTTTAAAACAGTAACTTCTCTCAGCTGTGATGCAGACATGGATCTGTACCTGTGTAGGTGACGGGCAAACAGAAAACATGGCATCTATATGGCAGACTGCATAGTCCGTTGTTCCTTTATGATTCTTCATATCAGTGACCGAGTGAGAAAAGATGTTGGGTAGTAGGCTGGAGTAAACAAAAATGTATCCCAGATAAAATTAGCTCTTTTTCTTGCAACTGAGTGCCACGGCGACCACTCGTAGTGAAATTAAATGGGCAACAAATAAATGGCTAAGAAGGAACATTTTAACATCATCTGCTTTATTTATTAAAAGCTTAGGGCTCCTGGGAGCAGAACCAGCCTGTGTAGCCTTGGGCGAGCTGCACGTTCCCAGGATATCCCCAGAAGAAGGGAATGGCAAACCACTTCTGAGCACTTTCTACCTGGAAGATCCTGAAAAACGTCACCATAAACTGATGACATATGATGTTGTGTCGTGGCATAAGGGGGCTTTTCAAGTTTAAAAAAAAATGCTTTCTAAAGAAAAATATTTTTCCAGATGGGCAGGGCACAGGAGCACTCAGGCATGGTACTCACTGTGAGAGAGCAGTGTTAATTGTAAGGTCCTCCTTGAACATCTCACCTACTTTGAGACCCCTACTAAGGTCACTGTAAGTCGGAAGTGACTTGCTGGCACATAGCCAAAAGGGGAATTTTAAAGATCAGCATGGTTAATTATGCTTTATATGGTTTAGGTACAATAAAGGACAGAATAAAGAAAAGCAAGCCAGACAAACCATGAGTCACACCTACAGAGCAAAGAGACGTTCAAGATGAGAATACGAAGTCAATGCCAGCACTGATTTTTTAAATAAGGTATTGCCAGAAATAGACTCTTATAAAAGGTGCCCTCCTTGAATCATTAAAGATTCAGAAGTCTCAAAGATGAGACGTGATGCTTTCAGAAATGACACCCATGGCTTCTTATATATTGACTTTTAGATATATTCAGCTTCCTCATTGACAACCATAATGATATTATGTTAATTATCAAACAATCTGAAAAAAATCAGTGGTATTCCACCTTTTTAAAGTCTGATAAAAAGTTATGGACCTTTTCCCAGAAAAATGCACACAAATTCTTATGTACTGTACAAAGTCAGTTTTCAAAGTACTGTAACAGGAAGGAAACAGAACAAAAAAAACCCACATCCTTTTGATATGCCTCATTCGTGGACCCTTCGACCTTAATTTAACAATCCCTGATTTACATGATCATTGTCCATTTAATTATAGCCTCAGAATGCCTCTCCTCTCCCATGGACTAAAGACACTGCCATTGGCAGTCAGTTTTTTTTCAGGAGACCCTCTTGGTCTTGCTCTAATGGCTCAGTGGCCATGTTGGCCAACACCTTCACTTTCCTAAAATACTTCATTTGAACCAGCAAAGGCACCTGGGGTTGGAAAGCATGTCTCTTGATTGTCTCTCTCCTGGACTCCATGGCACCACGGGACACAGTGCTGAAGCCATCAACAACTGGAAAAGGGCAAAACCTCATGGCTTCCATTGAGCCTCAAATCAACAGGAATGACATTTCCCCAGCTAATGTCTGAACAGAATTGTATGGGTTCACGTTTACAGCCAGATTGCATCTGCTCAGTCTATATAATTGCTCTTACATTGAGAACAGCTGGATAACTCAACGGTTTAGGTATCTGGTTGCGGAGTCAGAGGTTGGGAGTTTAATACCTCACTGTGCCTCCCTAAGACAGGGGCTGGATCCGATGACCCATAGGGACCCTTCCAGCTGTGCACTTTTGAGGTTATCCTCATCATCACAGAACCACAGAGATGGAAGGGACCATATGGATCATCAGCTCCAGCCCCTGTCAAGGAAACAGTAGGGAATTCGACTTCCAATAAGATATACTGGATAGCTCAGTGGTTTTAGTATCAGAGGTTGGGAGTTCAATTCCCCACTGTGCCTCCTTGATAGGGGCTCAGTGATCCACAGAGTCCCTTCCAGCTCTTCAGTTCTAGGATGATGATGATGATGATGATGATGATGATGATGATGATGATGATGATGATGATAACAGATGAAAGCAAACCTCAATAAGGACTGGGGAAGAGCACTCCAAGGAAAGCTCAAGTTTCAATGGCACAGGTTTGCCCCCTGAGGGTAGAATAGATAGAGGGCAGGGGCAGATTGTGGCTGTTGGCTTGGAAGGTCCAGCAGCCACTGATGGCAGAACCGGTGGGCTCTCCCAAACGCACAGGGAGGCAAGCCTCCCGTCCCAGACATACAGAGGCAAGCCTTTGCTCAGATGTTGTCTCACCTCATCTGATTAATTCACTCCACAGTTTGGCTAAGAAGCAGAACAGCACACCTTGTTCGAAAGGACAAATGTTTTTGTTGCTGCTGCGTCCTTCTTCTCTCTTTCACCTCCCGAACCCACCCTGCCATCTGCCTCAATTCCCCCCCTTCCCTCTCCCTCCCCCCCTCTCACACACACAGAGAGGGGGGGCACAAATAAGCCGGAAGGTCAGCAGAAGGGAGGGAAAAGGGGTGCAGCCTCCCCCTTCTACCTCAGATAAGAAGGGAGGCAGGAGGGAACTTTATGGGGAATAGCCCGAGTTGTGGGGGAGCAGAGAGGACCCGATTTGCCCTAACAGCCCAGCTCCCCCACTGTGGGTCATTAAGAAGCAGAGTGGCTATATTTACCTGTTTTGGAGAAAGGGAAAAACAGAAGACTTTTTACTTCCTTGGAAGTTCACGGAGGACAACTGCTACACGAGGCCCAAAGGCTTCTAAAGCTTTGGGAAAACTGTTTTTGGAGATGGCAGTTCCCCGTATCCCCCATTCAGCAGGGCAACTGGATAGCCCTGAACTGAATGCGGTACAGAAAGCAGTCTGAAAAACAGACACTTGGAAACAAGGTATCTCCATCTCCACTACCTGGGAGGAAATATCAGGAACAGAGAGAGATGGGGGAACTTGTTGGAAGGGGGGGGGAGAGAAGGAAGGTAGCTAAGCGCTGGAGGCACTAGTGGGAGATCCCACAAAAGCCTAGAAGATCCAAAATGATCCTAAAGTGTGCAGCACATTGGCCAATACAAGTACCTTGGAATTTGGCTCAACAAACAGTGAGATCATAGCCACACAATAAAACAAACAAGCAAGAAGGATTGTGTTGCTGAGTCCATGAGAAAGGAAACCCAGATCCACTGTGAGATAATACATTATTCAGCTAAGCAATAATACCATAAAAGTGTGCAATCTTTTTGGTTTTCTAGAATTCTTAGTCTTAGGTGACATTAAGAAGTAGGGATGACGATAGAAACACCAAGGTCCTGAAATTAGCCAAAATCAATACTATGGCTATGAAGTTTGCAATTAAACTCTGTCACGGCATGAAGGCTGCTGATTGACTGAATCACGTGATGGGTGTGCAGGTAAGAGTATAACGAACCGCACCTACTGGGACAAAGTGCCAACCTGGAAATCAGAAAAGCATTTGCCCATTGAAACAGAGTTACACACAGAAGGGCAACTCCTAGTCATGAGGTTACCATGGAGAGACAGGTCAAGGACGTTAATAACAGCAAGCCATTAATAACCAGAGCATGGCCGTTACTCCTGGGATTCTTGACCCCTGGCTGCCATGGGTCTGTTGCCCTTCTAGATGCTTAAAAGTGCAAGGGAAGTTTTTTATTTATTTATTGAGCATGGCCGTTACTCCTGGGATTCTTGACCCCTGGCTGCCATGGGTCTGTTGCCCTTCTAGATGCTTAAAAGTGCAAGGGAAGTTTTTATTTATTTATTTATTTATTTATTTATTTATTTATTTATTTATTTATTTATTTATTTATTTATTTATTTATTTATGTGACTATTGTGACCCCACGTACACTTACTCAGAAGTAAGTCCTGTTATGCTCCTTGGCACTTCCTTCTGAGTCAAGAGGCACAGGATCAGGCCTGCCTGAGACCTTTCCTAGGGGTTTCTTGCAGCCCACTCCTCACTATGCTTGCTCCACTGTGAGCCCCGTTAAGCCCTACGTCCCTTAGGACCATTGCTTTATTTTTTGCTTTAGCATTGTCTTAAATTTAAATTTTAAGTCCACCTTCCTTATCAATGAGGTCCAGTTCCCCAGCGGGCCTCTTGGAACTGCTGTCCTCTGTTAATATTGGGAGGAGAAACATTCCAGAGCAATGGGTGTCTGCGGTGGGTCGCTTGTGAAAGACGGAATTCGGCGATGTTTCTCACTACACCTCCAAGGGACACACACACACACACACATTCCAGGCAGGTAGGAGCCCAGCACCAGTTCTTGGAGGAAGTAATTACTGTACTGGACGAAAGTCATCGCCCGCATCGGCTGATGTCACAGCAGCTCACCCTCCGATGCAATCGCGAACTTCCACAGCATGGAAAAGTTCCCCGCCCCCCTTTTTTTCTGCCTTAAGGCGCCCGGCGTGCCCCCAGAAAAGCCACGGTCTGGGGATGCTGCGAGGGGGGGGGCGTCCACCGAGGAACGGGTCCAAGCGCTGCTCATGTCAAATAAGGCCGCGAAGACGGTCGCCCACCTCCCTCCCGCTCAGCCCCTCGGCGGACGGGTGGCGGCTCCGGACAGACCTCAAGGGTCGTTTCTGGCTTGGGTCCCAGGAGCGAGGCAGGTCGCCTCTCTCAGGGCGGGTTTCGCCGACCGAGGGGAGGGGCGTGGCCCGCAGGTAAGACGGGGCGGCCCCTTTCTTTTTTCCTCCTCCCCCTCCGCCAGGTGAGCGGTGTCGGAGAGCCGGCTCGACTCTTGCGCGGGCCAGCCCGGAGCGTCGGAACCGGGAAAGATGAGCAGCCGCCAAAGGTAGAGAAGCGCTCTTGTGCCGGCGGGCGGGTCCGCGTGTGGGGGGGCGGGTTCCGTGCCCGGACGCCTCTCTTTTCCCGGGGAAGCCGCGTGGGGCCGCTTCTCCCTACCTGCCG